CTGCAACTTATAATAAAACTTAAAACACTGCTTGATAAGTGTCGTCTGCTCTATAAAAAGTGTACGACTACTGAAAGCAGTCATTTTTGGTATATATTTCATACAGTAAAATTTTAATGACACTGAAAGAAAAGAACAATACAAAACAAAAATCAGTACTATTTACTACTCAGAAATTTCAGAAAGTGAATAACAGGTGGCGCACTGTAATGAAGAACAAACTTTATAGAACACGGCTGCCTTCTTGAGTTTTTAGTTAACACTTGTTTTCTTACTAATAATAGTTTCTTCAAGAAAAAACGACCACTGCTCTCTCTCGTGAAACTGGGAAACAACCAAATACACAAACTTCCCGAGCTGAACAAGGAAGTCCCACTAAGAAAGCTGCTGTTGGAGAATAACCTACTAGCCGAACTTCCCGAGGCCTTTTTTGATTATCTCCCCAGGTACTGTGGAAAGTTCATTTCACAACAGAGTAAAATAAAATAATATATTTCATTTGGTAATTAGAACAATAAATAATATTAGCTTTAAAAACTAGCAATTAATATTGCAAACAGTAATGACTTTTAAAAGTACTAATATATATATATATATAAAAGAGAGAGAGAATTAGTTAAATTATTTAACCTTTAAATGTTATTTTTCTGAAATTTACTAGTTGGCCGTATGGTGGCTGTTCTAGCCACCATGCGGCGAGGAAACACGTTAAAATGTCTTTATAAGGATTAGTAAAATTTGATATACTAGTGAAAACATTCAGAAACCGGAACGTTTCTTTAATCCCTAAATTTTCTAGTGCTTATTTAGGTTAAATTAAATATTTCACAGCTAATTATTTACAAGAAATAAATGTATATATATTTTTTCATGAAACCGTTTTGATGTAGCTCATCAGACAATTCATAATTTTCAAAGACAAAAATTTAAAATGAGAGAATAATTTAAAATATTAACGTAGTAACCAATAGTTTACTGGTGGGCGTTATATTGTAACCAATAGTTTAATGGTGGACGTTATATTGTAACCAATAGTTTAATGGCGGGCGTTATATTGTAACCAATAGTTTAATGGTGGGCGTTATATTGTAACCAATAGTTTAATGGTGGGCGTTATATTGTAACCAATAGTTTACTGGCGGACGTTATATTGTAACCAATAGTTTACTGGTGGGCGTTATATTGTAACCAATAGTTTAATGGTGGACGTTATATTGTAACCAATAGTTTAATGGTGGACGTTATATTGTAACCAATAGTTTAATGATGGGTGTTATATTGTAACCAATAGTTTAATGGTGGACGTTATATTGATATTTAAAATGAACAAAGCAATACGAGGAACTTTGATTTATAAATAAATAGATAAATATGTCTATAAATTAATAACAATCACTTTAAGTTCCAGATCGAGTGCATCATATTTAGTTCTACATATATTTCCACATATATAGATATATATATACATATACATTAAAAATAAATTCTGAAAACTAACGTTAGATGCCCTTACTATGCAAAGCTTCTGAAAAACACAGCAATTTAAAATATATTAAGTTTTTTTTGTGTTTTTTTTTTATAGGCTGGACGAACTGAATGTTACACACAACCAATTAACTGATCTCCCTCTACCGACATCCAAACAAAACCTATCACTACGTAAACTCTTTCTCTCCGCCAATAGGCTTCGAGAAAATGTCTTCGAGCTTTTGAGAGTTTGTCCGAGACTTCAGGTCCTGCACGTGGGCTATAACCTTCTAACTAAACTTCCTGATCAGTAAGCGTATTATCAGTGTCTCAAGTAGCGTAACCGTTACTTCCTGAAACAATAGTCTATTATTATTATTATTACTTCCGCCACCTAAACCGTTACTTCCTGAAACAATAGTCTATTATTATTATTATTATTACTTCTGCCACCTAAACCGTTACTTCCTGAAACAATAGTCTATTATTATTATTACTTCCGCCACCTAAACCGTTACTTCCTGAAACAATAGTCTATTATTATTACTTCCACCAACAAAAAAAAATCCCTATCTGTTAACAGGGGTACCGATTTTTCACATTATTTGTACTTTATTTTCTGGTTTCTTTTATTTTAACGATTCTATATTTGTTTACTGCCGCAGCATCATTAACTCTACAGATAAAAAAGTACCCCCACCCACGATAACGCCAGCCCTGGAGAAAGATAAATTATTATATTTTTTAAGTGAAGGTGTGGTGGTTAAATCTACACACTTCGCTAGATTTAACGTTCTTTTATTTCAATGTATTTGTATATATCACTTAAAAAAATACGTAATAATTATGTAATAATTTATTATAGACGCTTGTGTTTTTTTTTACATGAAGGAATTCAGGGTTAAACTATATTCTATAACTAATAAAATCCTGAACACAAGATATATAAATCCTTACTATTTGTTTCTGTTTTAGTATCTTTAAAGCGACGCCAGATCTCCAACAGATGTCACTAGCGGGGAACAGACTCCAAAGCATAGAGAAACTATCTAACGTACCGAAACTTCAGTTTCTGTATTTACACTCTAACAAGCTGACAACAGTTCCAAATTTTTCGTCTCATGCTTCCCTTAGGGTAAGTAAAAAATTCATTTCTCAGTTCCAGTCTCCTATCATGAGTCAAGGAAGTAAGGGATAACATGTTACTGCTTCATTATAGTTTAACTCATCTGGTAACTAACTCAAAACACCGAGAGATGTCTCTGTACATCATATAATCAATTGTTGCATATTTTACGACGTAATTTGTGCTGATTAATTTTTTTTTAATATAAACTTCGAAGGAAAACTTAAAATTGAAAAGTAATGAGAAATTGGAACCGTAAAATAAATCTAAAGAAACGATCTTCAGAATAATAAAAAGCAGCCATCTTTGAAATAATGACAAAATAGTTTAGCCTACAAAAGGAAAAATATGCAGAATAATGATAAAAATCATCAGTGTAATGAAGACGAAAAGAAAGATTTAGTTTTAAAATAACCTCAATAACATTTAGTTTTAAAATAACTTCAATAACATTTAGTTTTAAAATAACTTCAAGAACATTTAGTTTTAAAATCACCTCAAGAACATTTAGTTTTAAAATAACCTCAAGAACATTTAGTTTTAAAATAACCCCAAGAACATTTAGTTTTAAAATAACCCCAAGAACATTTAGTTTTAAAATAACATCAAGAACATTTAGTTTTAAAATAACTTCAAGAACATTTAGTTTTAAAATAACTTCAAGAACATTTAGTTTTAAAATAACCTCAAGAACATTTAGTTTTAAAATAACCTCAAGAACATTTAGTTTTAAAATAACCTCAAGAACATGTTTAGCTAATCAGTTTGTATATGACATTTTTGTACTTTTATTTGTTGTTATTTTCTCACAACAACCCATCATCAACTCAACTTCATATTGTTGTTATTTTCTCACAACAACACATCATCAACTCAACTTCATATTGTTGTTATTTTCTCACAACAACACATCATCAACTCAACTTCATATTGTTGTTATTTTCTCACAACAACACATCATCAATTCAACTTCATATTGTTGTTATTTTCTCACAACAACCCATCATCAACTCAACTTCATATACCTTTGATTGTTGCTACACACAGAAAACTTGAATCACAAAACTTCCAGTATCTTTAAGGTGACACCAGATCTTCAAGTAGCGTGTATATTTGATTTTATAGGTTCTTGACATATCGTGTACAAAACTAAATAAGGTCAATTTGGCTTTTCTTGTGACCCCTGACCTTCGCCATTTGGATATATCTTTAACAAGAATCTTCAAGTGGAATCAAATGACTTTCAGCAGCTTTGGTAAGAAGTTGTTATTTAACATACGTAAAGAAAAAAAAACACACTCTTAAACTGTTTATTTCATGAAATGAAGTGTTTAGGGTTAGCTAACGATAGAATTTTATGATGAAAAGAAAAGCATTGTTTTCTTACAGGACTATTTCCATATAACTGAGAAATAATTCGTTATTACTCTTCAGTAACGTTCGCATTTTCATCTCCTTTTCTTATGTCTGCGCAACTTTTATTATATTATTACGTCAGAGGAACGTGACGTGCAATCGAAAGCCTGAAGTATATATAGCTTTAACTGGCCTTAGGCCTACTTTGCACTCGCCCTAGATTGTCTCCATAAAAGTATTTCCGGTTCGTCTGTGACATTTTGTATAAATTTACAAAATTAACGTTTCGTAATAACACTATAATGAGTTGAAAAATGGCTGATTTTTAGTTTGGTAAACTCTACTATACGCCAACTTTAACTAGAATATTCAGTATCATAATATTGTCTGTTTCTGGTAAGCGCAAAGTTGCACAATGGGCTCCTTGTGCTGTATTTACTGCAGGGATCAAACCACAAATTTAAAAATTATAAGTCCTCAAGATTACAACTAAGCCATCAGGATAATTTGTTTTACTCACCAGTAGTAATACCTACAAATCAAGTATTAAAGTTTCTCTTCCAACATTCAGTTACAGTTTTATAGAAACATCTACACTAGTGGTCGGTAACCTATGACCCGCGGCAATAATTTGGCTGACCCGCCAAAAGTTGGCTTCACCATTGCAACCCGTAAGGGC